CTTACTCTCCAGCAGGCGCAATGCCTCCCAGTCCCTGCCCACAGAGCTGAGCCACCACTCCCCCTGCTCCCCAAGCCTCCGTCCCCTCATCAGCACCTCCTTTACCTGATGTAAGGGGTGTTCCCAGGGATGTGGTATTTTGCTCCAGGGTCAAAGTTGCTTTCATTCCTTGAAACCGGAGCACAGATACCCTGGTATTTGGTTCTGCAGACAACAGGGAACAAGAGCATTAGCTGGAAAGAGGGAGGCAGATGAACCAAGGCAGGGAATGGGAAGGGAAGGCTTAAGAAATCTACATAATTAGAGTGCGCTTCCATGTATTTCCATCCATCCATCCATCCATCCATCCATCCATCCATCCATGCATCCACCCACCCACTCATCTACCCATCCATCCCACCCACCCAGCTATCCATCATTCTCCAGCCATCTCCATGGCTACTTTTTCCTTTTTTCCTTCCTTCCTTTCTTCTTTGCTTTCTTCCTTCCTTGCACACACCCAGCTTCCACACCTCGATCCACCCCTGGTGACTGTCCTCTACCTCAGATACCACCAGTCATAGTTGTAACGGTTCGGGGGCGTGCGGCCATTGAACACATTCCAGCGCCACTGGTCGATCAGGTATCCGAAGGGCAGGAAGGCGATCTTCTCCAAGGCCATCTTCAGCAGATAGTTGATGTTGCTCTCTGCATGAAACAGAGCCTGAGCCAGGTTGGGAAGGAGTCTGGCTGGGCAACACTATCGCCACTAGACTTTTTGTGGGCAAGAAGGTGAGCAGGTCTGGATGAGAAATGGGGACAGCATTTCAATATATAATTTTGCTCCCTAGAGAAGGCTGTGTAGGACACAGGAGGTTTCTCTAGATACAGCTCCTACTTGGGGTAACATGTGCCTTTTTACTGAGTGGGGACAATGGGAGTGACAAGCGCGGTGTCCCCTTGCCTTCAGCCTGGCTCTCAGAGAAGGTCTTTGGTGAGTGTAACTCTAGTGGTTCCCTCTTCACACATTCACTCTGGGGCCTCAGGGTGAAGGGGGGTTGATCTGCAGGGCTGTCACACCACTGCAAAGGCTCTCATGGTTTAGACCCAGAACCCGAGCCAACTCTGGGATAGTCACCACCATATCATGGGGAGCACAGGGGATGGTGACATCTGCTTTCCCCATTGCCTTGAGGAAACCCGGGGAAGGAAGCTTGTACAAAGACCTGCTGGAGACCCAGCTGAAACCGTGGGGTCAGAGTGCTGCCCCTTGGCAGCACTGCCCTGAGGGGCTATTGGCTGCCATCGCTATGGTGGCATGGCTGCCAAGGGCTGGTGAGTCGGGTGGCGATGCCTTGAGGCAGGGACCATCTGCTACGTGGTGTTTATGCAGCATCGGCCCAATGTTCTTGGCTGCTGTGATGGCCTCCCTGTCATGAAACGTATTTAATGACAAGGCAGGAGGATCTCAGGACTGTCCCTCCTCCGCAAAGCAGCCGCCTGCGGCAGGAATCTGCGAATGCTTGGTTTCCTCTGCCGCCGTCTGCTTTGACATGTCAGCTGAGAGACGTTGGGCGGGGGGAGAGACACTTGCCAAGCCGGGCAGTGCCCTGTGGTGACAAGTCCTCCTCCGCTGCGCCAGCTGGCAGGCAGAAACGTCACCTGCTGACTGTCCTCGTGACTGTGCACGTAAGCGCTCAGTGCCACCTCCACAGAGCTACACCGGGAGCTCCTGGGGTGGATGTTTCTTGGCAAGGGAAGGGGGAACAGTGGAAAGGTCAAAGCTGATCAAGCACAAAGATGCTGCTTTCAGGTTTGGGGCTCTGATGGAGAAGGGAAGGGCACAGACAAGCTCTGGAGAGCATCCTTCCTGCCCTCAGGGGTGAAGAGGATGGAGCCATGAAGGTTCCCACATGGATCCATGGAGACAAGAAGGGGTTGTGGAGCCAAGCGTGGTGAAAAGCATACATCAGCCATGGGGTCTTGCCTGCTCTGGGTTGCATTGCCAGACTGCAGCCCACCATGGCATGTCCCAAACCCTTCCTGGTGCCACAAGCAGTGCCTGAGCCCTCCAGGCCACCCAGCTCCCCAGGGTGGATGCCATACCTGCATCCTCAGTGGCACTGCTGAGGAGACCGATTTTCTTGAGGTGGCTGGGGGGGGAGACAGACGGGG